GAAAATCCAAATTTCATTCTGTCACTCTGGGGCAAAGGGGGTCATAATATAAATTCTGATCAGAACTTCCTAAATATGAATATAATTGATTCATTTGATTAAATAGTCCAACTAAACATTATTTTATTCTGATATACTGTATTAGGGAGCTTTACCTTGATTAAATATTGGGTCAAAACAAAATAAGTTGCTGGATCCATTTGAACTGCTATACTTGCAGGCTTTATACTTGAACGTGTTATCTAGCTCAAAAGTTGAACAAATGTCTAGGGCTGCAAAATGATACTTATTATTAGTCAATAGAATTGCAGTTTATGTAAAGTGTTGCAATCCTTATAAGCAAAATAAGATTTAAAAAAATAGACCATTGGCGCATAAACTAATACAATTCCATGAAAATGTTAATGCAACAAGGAATTAATTCAGTCTGGCATTACTACAGAGGCCACAGCAAGCAAACATGTCCTTATGAAAGAATTGTCTATGTTCTCTATTGCTGTCTGACAAGCAGCAGAATATTGATCACAAAAAGGAAAATGAGCCAGTTCAAACTGCAGTAAGACATAAATACTCTTTGATGAAAAGAAAACTGTATTGCTTGGATTACAACAGAGGTTCTCAATGCAAATCATCAAATTGGCCATTTTATCCCTCTTGCTAAACAAAGATAGATTAAGGTGGACAGGACTATTTTTCCTCCTTGTTTTAAAGCTGGAATGATGACTCAGAAATCAAATGGCACCAGGTTGTCTGTATGAATTTAACATATGATGAACTCTACAATTCATGAACCTTGAAGTATCAGCATAAATGTGGCATTTCCAGGAGAAGAAAGCAGTAGCTTTACAGTTGGTTTTGCGTGAGATCCTTTCTGAAAAAAAAAATAGTTCCAGTTCATTCCAACTAGAAAACTCAGAGCAGATTCTATTTATTTCATTCTCACTTCCATATCTTGCCTGTTCTCCAAGAATTTAATGGTCAACGATTATTGACAAAATAAAACATTTCACATGATTACGTCCTGGAGTTTACTGTCACCAAATGTGGAAATGTTCATTCGACTTAAAGAAGATAAATAGACTTAAAGAAGAAAATTTCATGAACAATGCATCTTTAAGTGGATTATGGGACTTTCACATTCAGGGACAATCTGTCATTGAGTATCAGTTACTATAGAACAGCAAAAGATCACATGTGCATGAACAGCTTTCAGTTCTTTCCATCTGAAAGGCAAATATGGGAATAGAAAAAGATGGAGTCAGATACATCTGTTGCCGTTATCAAGTTGGAAGATGGCATAGCAACTGTTATAGGAGAAGCTTGTACTATATCATTAATGATTATATTGTTTAAAGGGGGGGGAAATTGTCCCAGACTCAGAGCTGGTTCCAATAGTGCAGAGAACAAGGAACACAATGTTGATTGGAAATGGCAGTGTCACATTAGATGACGAATAAAGTTTTGCAGCAAATAGATCATTATTTATGAGTGTTTTATTACTTATATTGTAGCCTATTAAATATGTTAGACTAATCAGATGCTAGGCATGGTAAAGAATTCACATATCCTGTGGCAGAAGGGAAAAGAAAATTGTTTTGCCTGGCCCAATTCATGTGGATTGCATTAATTGTTTATGTCTGACAAAAATGGATGATTTATTATTGGAGAGGAGAACTGCGTCCCACATCTGTTGTCATTATGAAAGCTACACAAAATGTTACTGAAAACAAAAATCAGTTTGATTTTTGTTTACTTCCTTTGCTTCTCATTGTATTACAATATTGGGGTAATATATTACTAAGCCCTGAATGGATGCAACTGAAGAAGTAAGTTATATTAGAATCAATTTCTATACTAATTACTATGACTGAATAGCATACAATTAATACTGTACCATAACAATAGTCCCAATACATTTACATATTTATACAACAGACAAAGCACTACTTTTGACTTGTATATTCTGAAATTAGATATAGATAATCCTGAACCTCAGGATCAATTAAAATTGTTGTATTATGACTTTACTCAAATGCTACTAAGTGAAAGGCATATATTCTCATTATATACTGTATATTCTCTTCATCACTACATTTCCCATTATGCACGCACAGTTGGAGAGAGAAGAGTGTGAGTGGCAATGGTCATTTTTGGCATTTTTTCCTCCAACAGCTTGTCTTTCTGATATCTAATATCTCTTTCTTCTCCGTTTCCTTTCTGTTCCTGCACCAGAACTAAAAATAATTAAGAAAACAAAATCCAAGGTGGAGCAATTTTAATCTGTAGCACAGCTGAAAGATTTGTGTGTGGTTTCACCTACTTTTCACTCATTTCTACAAGTAGTCCATAACTTACAATCATTTGTTTAGTGACAATTGGAAGTTACAGCGGCACAGAAAAAAGTGACTTATGGCCTTTTTTCCCATTTACAACCATTGCAGCATCCCTCTGATCATGTGATCAAAATTCAGATGCTTGGAAACTGGCAGGTATTTATGACAGTTACAGTGTTTCAGGGTCATGCCACGTGATCAGCTTTAGTGAAACACTGTTCAGAGTATTGCATCGTAAATTCAGCGCCAGAAAAGTAAACACAGATGGTTGAGGCTTCATTTAACTTCTTTATAAACATATAAAGTAAATTTTACAATACCAGTTGTAGATTGCTCCAACATGGAGCAAACTCAAACAGAAGCAAACATGTTACAGGTTCAGAACAGAACAGCAACTCAGGTGCTCAGAAACAGACATCAGTTTCACTTTAGTTCAACAGGCAAGCAAGCAAGTTAGTTTCTCTTTCACTTTAGAGCTGAGCACAAAACATAGCTAAACCACACCCAGATTCTCTCTTTAAGTTTCAGCCCTCAATTCAGCTCTCATTGGCTGACCTTGTTACTATTCCAGTTCATGAATATACTCTGATACACACAAAATCAATGGGGAGTCAGATTCACTTAAAAACTGGGTGTTACTAACTTAACACCTGCACTTAACAACTGTGTGAAGAAAGATCATAAAATGGAGCAAAATTCACTCAACAATTACCTTGCTTAGTCATGCAAATGTTGAGCTCAGTTGTGGTTGTACGTTGTATTCATTTTTCATTCCCCTGTATGGCCAGGGAAAGGGTGAAAAACCAAAGCAACATTGCTCATCACTTCATTTCAATCTCAATAGAGTTCAATATTAGTTACCCCCAAAGGAACAGTTTTCAAGAAAGACAAAGCGAAAAATTATTTTCCCCCAACTGAAGGCTGGATCTGTTTAGAGCTAAATTTAACTGTGTCAATAAGCTTTCCAGTGATCCAGTTATGTTGTGGGGGCCAGAGCAATATTGACTTGATTGTTTGTTTGTTTAATATATTTTCCATGACCCTACTTGTGCCACTTAAACAGCTATTTGCCTCCGCTCCATTTATACAACTATACAGCAATTCATCCAGCTGTCCTCACAATGTTCTTTTTTTAAACTTTATCACCGATGTACTGTAGATTATCTCTAATGAATGCTAAAACCCTGATTTGGGATATTAAGCTATTATGCACAACAATTCAAACAGGAGATGGCCAGGCTGAGCCCCAGGGAGAGAGTCAAAAGTGTCATCAGTCATGAGTCCCTGCACGCCCACAAGAGATCTAAGTCCATCCCACTTTGAATTCCTTCTTAACCCCTGCTAATTTCCCTTGACTGTTAGTAGTTCAGATTCTTGTAAAGACCTTAAGCTTTCAATAAATCCTTATACTCATTTGAACTGCCTGAATCTCCTGATTTTCCCCACACTTGACAGATGCAGCCTTTATGAGCCAAATAAATGATGTACCTGTAAATAGGTGCTTAGATTGGACAGGTTAATCTGATGCTTCAAAGCTATATTTGGCCTCCAGAAAATTTGGGTGGGGCCTGAAGAATCTCTCCAAAAGTTGGCACTGAATTGCAGTTTTCAGTATGAATGGAGAATAATCCACTTAATTGAATATAATTAATGTGATTTACATTCAATTAAAATTACTTAAAAGTCCATTTCTTTGACTTCTCTCTACCTACTTTATCAAATATGACAGGCAGGTGCCAGCGAAATGGTGAATATAAACCTCAACCACAAATGTATTATGTACTCCTGGGACAATAATTTTCCAGGATATCTCCTTATAATGATGCATTCAGTAGATGGGGAAGCAATAACATTTATTGCAGTCAATGACTGGCTAATACAACAAAACAAAATTGTGTAAACTACACGACACATTAAATATACAGCATGCTATCATGTTAGAAGAAGTGTGGGGTATAAAAGCCACTTGAAATATATCTCCTGGCCAAGCTTTAAAGTTAAGTTGTTGTTAATATTATCATAAAATAAAAATAACATTGCTTACCTAGTTTGGCGAGACAGGGGGATAGAGAAAGAGCCAAAGACATCCATGCTCCAGAGGTAAATATATTTTACTGAAAATGAAACAGAAGGAGTTTTATGGTATTTGAGAGGACAAGATTTTGAACTATCAGATTTAGCTCAGCCATATTCTAAAATATACTTGAAAAAAACATAAAGTGCAGCCAAGATATTTAATTTTATCTAAATATCCTATAAGGAATAAAGTGCTTACCACTGTTTCTGCCTATCACAATGAATCTGCTATTCTATTGACATATGCTATAAATTTAATACAATATTGTGGTTTAGATGTCTCTTTTGATAAATTTCAGTGAAAATCTGTGCTAAGAAGAGTTGAGCTGTTTCACTAGTTAAGGAGTTTGAAAGGCAGAGAGAGGAAAGGAAAGATAATAATTAAAACAATGTTCATGTAAATCCATGCCATAATAGTTTCTGGGGTTCATTGCCTGGTTGTTTTGGAAGTTAAAAGGATTTGAGTAGTTCTTGATTCTATTGTACAAAAAAAGTTTATCTTGGTTTCCCTCAATCTTTTCTTTGTTAGCTCCAAATTTTTAGATCTTGATCTGTATTTGTCTGATTTTTTTATCTGCTCTTGTATTGTAGGCATATTGGAAATAACATCTGTGGAAATTGGAGTGGTGGCTGTTAAATCTATTAACAGCAATTATTATCTTGCCATGAATAAGAATGGCAAAGTCTATGGATCTGTAAGTACATTTTACTTTCTTCTATGTAATTTCTTCTGTTTGTTTCTGTTTCTTCATACATACATACACACACACATTATTTATATACTCTTGTGTGTGCATGCCTCTCTCTCTCTCTCTCTCTCTCTCTCTCTGTGTGTGTGTGTGTGTGTGTGTGTGTGTGTAGCAATTCCTTCCTCCATTATCCGTCAATACTCTTAACCTTGGAAAGTTGCTTGAACTACAGAGAGTGAGAGTTCAAATTCGAGTGAGCTTCTGTACCTAAAGGGCTTGAAAGGCAAGTTATTATATATAAACAGGGAGCAAACGCTTCTGAGGATGTTACTATAGTTCCACTGTCAGGCAATGCTCTTCATGCTGATTGGAAGATGCTCATGATTGAAACCTAGATCTTCCACATCCAAATAAAATGCACTTCAATTAATTATATTCCATTATTTCAAGCTGTTATTACCCCTTTCCTTCTTGGACTCTAGCTGAAAACATGGAACATTTTTATAGGTTTCTTATACCTGGAGTAGCATAAAACTAATGTCCGTAGTTCCAAAAATGTTTTCCATTTTTTCTTGGATTAAATAGTCCCCAAACAGCCATATTTAAACTTCACTCTGTCCGGAAAAATAAAATCTGCCCTGACAGCCATGTTTCAAAGTTATAAATAATGTGCACATTCAGTTATGTTATTATCTATCTTTTTATCACTACTAACCTGTAACCTTTAACTGGGCAAAGCAGGGAAGCAATTTTTGAACCAAGGTTCTTTAAGTGGATGAATTTATAGAATGTATCCAAAATCCAGCAGTCATGATTCCCATGGAATGGAATTTTAGCAAATTTTATAAAACAGTTTATGAATAAAATTATCATAAAATGGTGCATAACATAATACAAAATGTCATAAAACAATTCCTCTGCTAATATTTATGCTACGCAGTTCAACACAAGCTACTTTCAAGTAGGTACAACTCTGGGAAACGGGACAACTTGCTGTAGCCAACTTGCCACGGCCAACTCGCCACAGTCAACTTGCCATGGCCAATGTCATCACTGCCAACTCACTGTGGGACAACTTGCTATGGCCAACTCACCATGGAACAACTCACTTTGGGACAATTCAACAATTCAATTTAATTATTTAAAATAATTTAAACAATTATTTTAATTGTTGTCATTCACATTTTATTTTATCCCTCCTTTGGCATCTTTTCTTTATGATTCTATTCGACTATTTCTTCTATATTAGTGTAATTGTTGTCCTGCGGTGAGTTGTCCTGCAGTGAGTTGGCTGTTGCAAGCTGGCCATGGTGAGTCGTCATAGACCCACATCTCTGAATATATCCCAACTTTTCCAGGTAAGACACCACATTAGAAACATTGTCATCGTTGAAGACATCGAGGAATCTGATAAGGAAATATCTCTGAAAAGATGACGCAAAAGATCACAGATTGTCTAGGTTAATAATAAAAACAATGTCAAAACCCTTGAAAGAAAATTCAAGTACACATTCAGCTTTTCTCTATTTTTTAAAATTCTTTTATCAAGCTTACCCTCATGAAAAGTAGTATATCATATAATGTAAACATTGATGCAATATTTGGATTTGAAGACAATTCATACAGCTTACAAATGTCTATTATTCTGGGAAATGTTTAAAAAAATAATCAAACAAATCAGATTCACATATCTATTATTTTATTCCCTTCCGTATTGAATCAACAGAAAGCACTTGATTATTTTTTAAAAAAATTAACGTACAAAGGGGAGATTTTAATTAAGGTTACAAGGAATGGAATTTTAGTTGAAATTGACCAGATCTGCATCCTCCATATATTAATGCATAACTGTAAGATATAGTTGTGAATCAGATTATGGATTCTGGAATGTAGGAAACCAAATAATTCCTGGATTATACTCTTAAGTATAAGAGTATAAGTATAATTTAAAAACTGCTTAATGTTTCAGAGGAATTAAAGTTGTATTTGATTTGTCCTTCACTGGGTCACCTCACAAGTCAATCACTTTTATATGCTACTTCTCTTATTTTGGAGAATTGCTAGTAGAGATTATCTGTATGACTTTAGAACCCTTCTTTTTTCCTTCTCAGTTCTTCCATCTTGTAATAGAATATGTCAAAGCATTCCTTACATAATCAATAACTATTTCTACTCCTAACTTCCAGATTCCCACTTATTTGAAAAAGTATAAAGTATAATTGTAATGAATGTACTGTAGAGTCTAAAAATGGATATCAAACCCTATGATAAAAGTGAGCTTCAGATTGAGTAATGATTAGGGAAGAGCAATCACACCTGTGTTTTTTATTGTTTTTGAAGAGTTTTAACTTGTCTGCTTTTAAAGGTGGCTTAAGAATCTCCAGGGCTTAGTATGTTTATTGTGCGTGCAAAAAAGCGAGCATAAAATATGTGAAGAGAGAGAAAAAGCTTAGTGGCATGTCTTCATTACAGAAATAAAAGCATATCCTTATTTGTTATTCAAGGGGTTCACCTTGCATGTCACCTTCTCTCTTTCTCTCCCTCTCTCTCTCTCCCTCCCTCCCTCCCTCCCCCCGTCTCTTTCTCTCTCTCACCCCACCCCACCCCTCACTCTTATTCCTTCTCTGAATGCTATCCATTTTGTTTTTTCATCCACTGCAGGCCTTAGTCCACCTATCTACTGTATGTTAATTGTGATTAACAGACATCTAAGGTTGCAAAACATGCAAGCTAAATACTGAGTATGTCATTTAGAACAGCTAGATCTGTGAAATAATGCCTATACATTCCAGGCAGATGTGCCATGAGTTTGCATACATTTTACTTTGAACTTCTTCGGCACACAGCTGCTGCTGTTGCTGCTACTGCTGCTGATTCAGCAGCACAATAAGTCCGTATGCTGTACCACTAATTTTTGAAACTCAGTGGATAGGCAAATTATCTTATTCCAACATGTGCCCTGCTTATTTGTCCTATCTGTTTATCAAGAAAGAATGATACAAACAAGCGAGAAGAGGAAATGTCCAAGAAATGTTTATTGTGAGCTTTGACAGTTGGATCTGAAGATCCCTTTTTGGAGGCAAAAGAAACTTACCATTTATGGGCAATGGCCACTCTGGAAAACAGGATATTTGACCTTTAAAATGGATCTTTTGATTGGGCTATAAAATAAATGTTTGCTTGGATACTTTGATGACCATGTCTAGCTGTCTGTGCTTTTGGCATCTACCCTGTGGTTCAAGCCTTAATGCTGCATGGAGGGACACAACCCTACAGAAAGGATAGCCACCATATATATTTAAAAAAAATCAGTTCTAAGCATACCCCAAAGTTATCTATTTCTTTTTATTGTACTTAGTGGTCTTCACCTCTTCACCTTCTGATATTGTCTGTGTTTTTTTTCTTTCTGTGTTTTCTTTTTCTTTTCATACAGAAAGAGTTTAACAACGATTGCAAACTAAAGGAGAGGATAGAAGAAAATGGGTACAATACGTATGCCTCATTCTCCTGGAAAAATAATGGAAAGCAAATGTTTGTGGCTTTGAATGGAAAAGGCGGGACGAGGAAAGGACAGAGAACCAGACGGAAAAACACTACTGCTCATTTTCTTCCCATGGTAGTTGACCCACAGATGAAGGACTTCTTCTACTGATAGCAGCTGAACCAAAGATTTTGTCAGGAATACCTTGTACTCCTCTCAAAAGGCAAAGGCAAAAACAGAGCATCTGCTCTATTTGACGGATAACGGGGGAAGGTTTTCTATTCTGTCAAATTATGAAGTACCTCCAATTAGTTACGTGTCATATCCTATAATCAAGACACAAGCTGGATCAAATGGGATCAGAGCTTTTTCCAGTGCAAGCAAATAATGATGGTGATGATGATTTTTTTATCTTGCCAATAGAACTGAAAGGATATGAGACAATGTATGGGGGCGATGTTGGGGAAAGTTATTTATGGAATACTAACTCAAATCAAAAGAACTTCATTCAAGCCTAATGATCCAATGAACAGTTAAGCATTTACTGTAAGCACATGGGTCATCTGCAGAAAGAAGAAAAGATTTTGGAACGGTCTCATATGAAAGAGATGAATAGGATTAAGAAATATAAGCATATTAAAGTTGTTCTAACAAAATTAATAGTATGATTCCCCATCTCTTTGTATGCTAACGCCATGCCTTTGTATTTCTCCCTAAGTTATTTATTTAATAGGATGTTAAATATCTTTCTTCTCTATTTGGGGGGGATTGTTTGAAGGATTTTCTTAGTTGCTCCTTCTATCATAATCTTTTCTTGCTGTCCATATTCTTTGCAAGATTGACAAAGTCAAGCCTTGAATCCTTGCCCAAATTTGCATAAATACAGGAAGAACAACACAAAAGAAAAAACATAGGATTGTAGATTGTGTTCACTTGTGTTTCCCCCATTTCCCCTCCCCCCTTGAAACTTGTTTTTTAAGATTTGCACTTAAAATCGATAGGATCAGAAATGAATGGAAATTGTAACAGGATCTGTGTGCATTTTGATTACTGCTTCTCTCACAGATCCAAAACTTCCTACAAAAAATCATCTACAGCAGGGGTCTCCAACCTTGGCAACTTTAAGACTTGTGGACTTTGCTTGCTGGGGAATTCTGAGAGTTGAAGACCACAAGTCTTAAATTTGCCAAGGTTGGAGACCCCTGATCTACAGAGTTTTGCTGCTGTTTTGAAATGGGCAGAATTTATTTGGATACTCAAATGTCATTTAATGCCTGACCTCAAAAATATTGAAATTGAATCATAATTATTCTCGGTTTTTTAAAGTGAGGCATAACTATATATGGCCACATGTTATACCAGTGTTTTTTTTTTTTTTTAATTTCAGCTGCTTTAAAATGTGTGGACTTTAATCCCCAGAATTTGAATCTTAATGTGGCTGAGGATGAGAAAGGCTGTTTATACTAATGCAATTTCTTTTCAGAAAGACATTGAATTAAGTATATTGAGCTGATAACATCTGAGCAGCATTTTGTTTACATCACCACACCCGACAAAGTAAATAGAAAAAGCCATTCCTTTGACTGCAGTCTGTTTCAGAAAACAGCCCTGAAATACATGGTGTTGAAAATTGCATCCTCAATCTAAATAAAGTTCAATTCAGGATAGTTTTGAATATTGCATAGGGAGCTGCAGAAGAGAAAGGAAATTGCATTTTATTTACGCTATCAAACCCAATGCAAAAGCCTATTCCATAAACCCCTGAAGAGATGTCTTTGTTTCAGAATATTTTATCACTTTGCAGGAATATGTACACTTTCCTGCAATGACTGGAACCATATGCTATCCATACTGCTCCTATGTAGCATTGAAAGCTGTCCAATGTTCTTGAACATATCAGTTAAAGATGTCTGTACTTGTTTCTACTAAAATCTTACCATTACACATGAGAATATTACTTTAATTAAAGATAAGGAATTGGTTGAACATCGGATGTGAGCATTCACCTTTACTTAGGGGTGCTGATTGTCAGCTATATTCCTGGGAACCTTGATTTAAAGAAGTAATTGAGAAGTAGTATCTCAGCTGATGGTGCTGAAAAAGTTTCCACACAAAATGTCAAAAGACTGAAAGAAGAATATTGGGATTATATTGATCAAAACAAGTAGCTGATCTCTTTTTATTTTGGTCATTACTTGCTGTTCATTTTTAATGCAGGGGTAGATAATTCATAAATCACCTATGTTCCATGCTCCTTTTATACAATTTCTGGAGCATCTTAGGGAGAAAGTACCAAACAATTGCAATTTGGTACTTTCTCTACCACCACCACCAATGTAGCAACCCTGCTACATTAACTGTCAGCCATGGGACACCAATAAAAGTGGGAGAAGAGATTTCAAAAACAAAAGAAAAGTCCAACTCTTGGTCCAATTCTTCTGTGACATCATTTCAATCTTGGTCCACCCACTACATCTCTTGGCCACTAGGAGAAAAAAAATTAGACATCGCTTCCTAAGCTGAGACATTGATCACTCCTACTTTAATGTTTAGAGGCTAGGCTTTTTTGCATTATATATTCAAATAAGTAATCCTAGTTCCAACTCTTGTGAATTGTGGGCGCACGATCTAGAATAGGCTCTGCAATGTGATCCCTTGTCAGTGTGAGTCCCAGAGGGAAGGAAATGCTTTGTCATCTTGGAGTGAATATTTAAGGCCCAGAATGGACTGTGATGATCAAACAGCCATTCCTGGCCATTTTAGCATAGCCTAACTATATTGATGAGAATGGATCTGGTATAAATTATTTGAGGATTGCAGCCACTATTTTTCTTATGTGTATATAACTCTTAAGAGCCAATTTACAAGCAACATCTTTCTTCGTGTATCAAAATATAAGCAATGGCTCTAAAGCAGGGGTGTCAAACTCAAGGCCCTGGGGTGCTTAGATCTGGCCTGTGGAGCTGCCCTGGAAACAGCGAAGGACTGGCCCGCAGTGCCTCTGCCAGTGAAAATGGAACTTGGGAGGGCTGCACGCGGCCCTCCCAAGTTCCATTTTCACTGGCAGAGGGTTGCAGGAGGCCATCACAGCTGAAAATGGAGCTCAGGAGCCCATTTTCACTGACAAAGTGCTTGGGCACTACCAGTGCCCCCGACACAAGTGGCGTTGAGCTGGCCACGCCCAATCTGCCATGCCCACACCGGGCCCCTGAGGTCAAACAACTTTGAGACAGCCCTCAATGAAATCGAGTTTGACAGCCCTGCTCTAAAGTGTAATATTGGGCATAATTTTAATGGAGGGTTCTTTTTTCATAGCTTACACTGAATAATGCAGTCTTCAGTTAAACATAATATCAACTTCTTTCAGTCTGAAAAAAATTATATGAGTTTTATTTGTTTGTTTTATTTTTTTTTCTCTTTAACATTAGAGAACTATGGATCAATATAACCATAACAAGATTCATTTTGTTAGAGCAAGTTAAGTAGAAACTGTACATCCAACCAGCATGTAACACACTCTTCACAGTGTATCCCACTAAATAAATGAAGAAATGCTTAGGTCTTCTTTGCAGTGTCTATAGTGAAGAGCAAATGTAGTTTGTTGTTTAATGAATATTAATATTCAAAATACTTTAAGGGGCTAAGTATATTGATACTGCAGGGTTATTTTACTTTAATATTTTTTCTCACAAAAAGAATGGGTTTAAAATGTTTGGAAATAGTAGTTTGGTACAGATGCTTTACAAATAGGATCCTTTTCAAAATAATGCATAATTTACACTGTCGATCATGTTAATGATATTTATTGTACTCTTTTCCATTCTCCAATTCTCTGAAAAATCAACTAAAACTGTCCAGTGGGAAAATTATTCCAGAGTGTAATATAGATTGGTGTAAAATTTGTACAGGTAGTCCTTAAGTTAGGATCATAATGGAGCCTGCCCATCATGAGCGTAACTTGTGATGGTCATAAAATGTGACCAACCTGATTTTATTCCCTTTCTTATGAATGTCATTAAGCAAATCTGCAGATGTTAAGTGAACACTGCAGTTGCTATGGTGCGGTTTTGCCAAAAACTGGAAGTAAATGCTAGTGTCTGCAAAACCATTGTAAAATGCATTAATGTGACTGGAAACAGGCATAAATGCAGCCTGGTTGGCAAATGCCCATAGTGAGGTCACATGATTTGGGGAGCAGGGTGAAAGGACAACTGTCAGATCTAATAAGAACCCCCGGTTAGATCCATCAGGACTTCAAATAGTCTACTACCTGGAGAAAAAGCAAAATTCATCAGTAATAAATGTAATATATAATGTAATAAAGATAAAACACAGTCCAGCTACACTTCCTGTGATACACATGGCAGTGCCTGTACTATATCATATTCTCATCTCAACCACGTCTTTAGCCCTCTGCCAATATAAATGAAGCCCAGTTGATGTGTGCTCTATTTTAATTGGCAGAAGGATAGCAAAACAAACTTAAAACAAATATTATTCAAAGGATTGTATTTAAATGGTTCTGTGCAGCCCATTTGCCAGCTTCCCTGATCTAAGGGCATTCTGGAAAGGTGGGTTTCAAATCCCATGAAACCCTGTTTGTGGCTGGGAAATCTCAAAATTGAAGTCAATCTACCTAGAGATCATTGTGTGGGGTGAGGGAAGGGGGAGATTGCCCTGTGCCAATCATCCTTATTTAGACCTGAGACTTACCCTAGGATGTATTTGGCCTTGCAAAATATTCAGACTGCAGTTGCTTAGCCTTAAATACAAAATGCTTTGCCTTAAATACAAAATGCTTTGCCTGGGTGTTCCCTTATGCAAACCCCACAAGAAACATGAGACGGTGGAATAATTGTCTTGCGCAGCTCCCCACCCCCTGCTTTCACTAGACGTTGCCGACTGACTTCTGCTTCTAGTCACGTGGGCAAAACAGTATTTGGCACAAGTCACCTTTCGCTGCCTGATATAGTGAAAACCAGCTCTCAGAAAACAGAGTTGCACCAGTCTAGGAAAGGCTGGGCTAAAAAATTTTTTTTCTTGTGGTTGAACAAAAATGCTTTACTCTATATCAAACTACCAATAGTTCGATTTGAAGATCACGATGGTCATTATAGTGGCTGCATAATGAAAGCCTTGTCCTATGAGGGAAAAGGCTTTCCTTGTGTTACCTTTGTTGTTTTGTTTTGTTTTCAAAGTGATAATTGCAACTGACAAGACATGGTAGACCACCCACAAAAAAATAAATGTTTGGTTGACAAAGAAAGGATTGGATGACCATTCTCCAGAAGAGTCGATGTGCTACAAACAAGGTTCTTATGTCACAGAACCATTAGCATTGGTTTGGGGTCTTGGGGAAGGGAAGATGTGTAAACATTCATAATTACAGGACTTCAGCAATTTGTAGAAAGGCTTCTTGTGGGGAAAAAAGATTGGGTATAAAAATATTTATTAATAAACATAAAAGTTAAGGTGAACAGATGTAAAGATATACAAAGTGGGAGGTTAACAATGTTGCTCTCCTTATAAAAATGTCTATTTTTCTTTCCAAATGTATTTCATGTTTATTAGAGAAGGAAAAAGAATCCATTTTTTCTGGTTTAAATTTGCTTTTACTGTGCAG